TTAGTGCTATATACCTACATCTGGCTCTCCTCTCCTTCTGGGCAGATGATTTGAGGATGGTTTGTTACCACAGCAAAACCTAGCCTTTTCTGAGCTGATATAACTAAACTTTTATGTCTGAGACAAGAATATAAAGAGATTATATAATCTTACTTTATGTAACAAATAATTTAATAACACTGATTTTATATAATAAACAGATTTACTATATGAAATTAAAAACTTCTACAAAACTGAAGAACGCTATAAGCAAACTTAAAAGATAAGCAACAGTCTGAAAAGAATACATACATATGATACATCATAAAGGATTGGTATTCAAAATGTAGAAAGAACTAAAGATCAATAGGAAAAGACAACTCAAAAATGGGAAAATAAATGAACAATTCACAGAAAAAAACTAAAAATTAGATTTAAAAGAAGTAGTAAAATAATTGGGTAGATCTGTATGTTCTGACACGAAAGGACACCAAGATATACTTTTAAATGAAAAGTGCAAACTGCAGAAGAAAACGTCAAGCCATTTATGTATACATTCATTCATTCTACATACATTTATTATGCACTTACTATGAGCCTACTATGTGCTAGACATTAATACAGTCTCAATATATTCTATTTATATATACTATATTTCACTAATAGTAAGTGCTCAACAAACACTAAGTGTGTGCCAAGTGCAGTGCTATGTGCAAGGATGATTTCATTTAATTCTCAAAACCACCTTGTGGAACCAGGCAAGATTCAAAACCCAGACATCCTTGCTCCAGAGCCCATGCTGTTAACCACTTGCTACGCTGCTTCCATGTGCTCATGCACAGAAAAACTAGACACCAAGTTGTTACATGTGGTCCCCTCTAGGAAGGGGGTAAGAGAGGAGGAGGCGAGGCTTGAAATATCCAAATATTTCCAATATTATGTGTACAACTGAAACCCCTTTCTGATTCTATTCCATCCCTTCTCCCCAAGAGTAATCACTAGCTTTAAGTTGGTCTGAAGCTTTCTCGTGCATATTTTTGTACTTTTACCAACTGTGTAATTTACATATTGTCTTACTTTGAATATATTAAACTTTATAAAATGGCATAAGACTGAATGTAAGCTCCTGCAATTTTTTTTTCACTTAACTTTACATTACTGACATTTAACCATGCTGACACATGGAGCTCCACCTCATTGATTTACCTGCTGCTGTATACTATTCTATACCTGGAAAACCTGTATTAAGACTAGATATACTTCCACTTGACTAGATATATTGTTAAGCTGCTCTCCTAAGCAGCTTGACCAATTCACACTCCCACTAGCAGTGAGTTCCCGTTGCTCCATATTCTTCACAACAGTTGGTACTGTCAGATTTGCAGTTTTTGCCAAGCTGATGGATGTTGAAATAGTATTCCACTGTTCTTTAATCTGTATGTCCCCTGATTACTAGTGAGGTTGTACATTTTTTGTATGTTTATTGGAAATTCCGTTTCCTCTTTATATTTCTGCCCATTTTTTATTGTGCTGTCTTTTTCATATTTAATATTTAAAGAGTTCTTATATATATATTTGAAACTAGTCTTTTGCAAACAGCTTCTCTGTCTCTATAGCTTGCCTTTTATCTTTGTGTACGGTGTCTTTGCCAATTGAGGTTTCCTTTACGGTTTGTGTGCTTTTTTCGCTTTTGCTTTTTACTCTATACGTACAACTGTATTACTTAAATACACAGACACGTATTTACGTACTTCATGGGTTATTTAATTTTTTTAAAAAAGCAGAAAATAGTTCAAGTGTGATTACATTATTGAGAGAAGCCAGGAATTCTGGTTTTTCCATTTATAGCATTAAAACATTTATCTATATCTATTGCCTATATGAGGAGCCCTGGTGACACAGCGGTTAAGAGCTCAGGCTGCTAACCAAAAAACTGGCAGTTCAAATCCCCCAGCCGCTCCACAGAAGAAAGATGTGGCAGTCTGCTTCCGTAAAGATTTACAGCCTTGGAAACCCTATGGGGCAGTTCTACTCTGTCCTACAGGGTTGCTATCAGTCAGAATCAACTCGATGGCAGTGTGTTTGTTGTTTGGTTTTTTATTGCCTACATAAACCAAGTATCTTAGAGCTCCCAGTGCTAACATTTTCCAATTCTGTGTAATAAATTTTATTAGATTTCATAAAACCTAAGTTATCCTCACAATACTCATATGAAATAAATGTTATTATCTCCATTTTAAAGGAAAGAGCTAGCATGGCAGATTTACGACCTAAACCTCTTGGCTCTCTGTCTTATGCTTTTCCTTTTAGTTCCAAAATTGAATCTGATCTTACTATTTTCTCGTTTTAACTAAGGATGCCTAGACTGAAAACATGGCTAACAAAATGTAAAAATGTTATTCACAAATTTACATCCTGTCTTTAAAACAAACTGTATTTCCTCTACCTTCTTATGTTTTAAATTTTCTCCCTCTTATTGGAACAAAAGAGAGTGATTTCTGGGGTATTCAAAAAGTATATCAAGCCATAAGCTTATCATATGAGCAATTTTCTGTACATATCTGCACGGTCCAATGTGACAGCCACTAGTCAGATGTGGTTATGAGCACTTACATGTAGCTACTACAAACTGAGATGTGTTGTAAGTGTAAAATACACACCAGATTTTAAACAGACAGTACAAAAAAGCATGCAAAATATCTCAATAATTTTATACTGATTATATATTAAAATGAGAATATTTTGAATATACTGGCTAAATAAAATATAAACATTAATTTTATCTGTTCTTTTTACTTTTTTAATGTGGCTACTAGAAAATTCAAACTTATATATGTGGTTAGCATTTGTGGCTCACAATATATTGCTATTGACTGTGCTGGTACATCTGATATACTTTACTTTAAAAGTTTATATTTTTTTCCACCCTCTTATAAAACAGATAACTGCTACACATGCCATACAATAGTGTCTTAATTACTTTCTCTATCATATTTAAGCATTGTATAAGTCAATAATTGAATTCTAATAAACTTAAAGTAAAAGAGCTTGAATTCTAAGACAGCTCAAGTTGATTACAAACCTCAATAAATCAACAAAAGTAGTTAAAAAATCAATCGCTACCTCCATTTCTCTACTAACGGAATACAAAATATGTTCTAATGTTACTTTTCTAATAGTAAAAGTAAATTGTGGATAAGATATTTACATTCTTAGCCATTCCCTCCTCAGGTGAACAACAAGTATTTGTGAGCCCCTTCATTGGTGGGAAGGTGTGGCGAGGGGGTCATACAGCATATGACCAAGGATAAAGGGGCTCTCAAGGCCCCACAGAAATAACAACCTTTAGCTTCATGGGCACTGTGCTCTAATCTACCTGGATAAATCTAGCTACGTAATAACCACTTGGACAGCTGGGTAAAAACAAATTCTTGGATACATGCCCCAGAATATTTTATTCCCAAGTCTGAAATAGGACTTTGAACCTTTTTTTTTTTTTTTTAAATTCCCCGGGCAAAACTCATGTGCAGTTATGTTTGGAAAACAAGTGTCCTCATCAACCAAACTGATCTACCACAAACAAACCTTAAAGTAAAGTAGAGCCCAAAGGCAAGGTTCACCACCTGTCTGTCAGTTTGTCATACTGTGGTAGCTTGCATGTCCCTTAAGAGTAAAAATGGCTATATATATATATACATTGTGGTTTATTCATATAACAGAAACTACACAACAATGAAAATGAAAAAAACTATAGTTTCTTGCAATATGGATTGAACTCAAGACATAATGTTGTGCAAAAGAAGTCCTACATCTCTTGAATCCATTCAGAAGAATACATACATTATATACAGCATGAATCTATGCATATAAAGTTCAAATAACAAGCAATAAACCACATTGTCTGGGATGCATATGTGAGTGGTAAAACTATAAAGAAGAGCATGAAATGATTATCATTAGAGTCACTAAAGTGATTATTTATGGAAGGAGGAGACAGGTTACGATCAGAGAAAAACATTCAGGAGGTTTTTGTGGGATGGTAACGTTCTATTTCTTGTCCAGGGTGGTTTCTCAGGTGTTGACTTTATAAATTCTTGTTATATTTTATATATTAATTAGGGTAATACTAGGTGACGTAATAAAGAGACAAAAAATATGTAATGGCTTAAACAAAATTTAGGTTCATTAGTGCAAAGCAGATAGTCCTGGTCAGTGGGTAGCCTTCCTTTGTGGGGTGACTTAGGGGCCTCCCTCCATTTTGTGGCTTCATCATCCAGAACCTCATCACATCCAGCCATCAGAAGGGAATCATGAGAATATGGAAAAGACATACTTGTTTCTAAAGAGCCTTAGTCTGAAATGGGACACATATCATTTTCACTTATATTCCACAGGAAGAGCTAGTAATATAGCACCACCAAACTGCAATGGAAGCTGGGAAATGTGGTCAAGCTGTGTGCCCAGGATAAAAAAGAAACAAACTCCTGGTGACTACCTAGCAGTCTCTACTACATTTTACATATGTATCACATACTTAAATGTGTTATATTTCACACTTAAAAAAGTAAAACGTAAGAACTATAGCTGTATGTTTAAGCCATCATGAGTCTGCTCCAATAAATAAATTCAAAATGCTGTTTTGCATATGTAATTCAATTATGAAGACAAGGCATGAAATTGATAATCAGTTGGTATTAAATGATGTTATGCATATGTGTTTATACCTTAAGTTTATTGTGAATGTTTAAACCCATAAAATCTTGAAACTAAAGTGCCCTAAAAGATCATCCAATCCAGCCTCCAGCCAATACAGCATTTCCCTTAGAAACTGCCTAGAGATGACCACCCATCTTCTGATTTCCAGAGACAGGAAGCTCACCACTTCATAACCCAATCTGTTCCATTGTTGGAAACCACTCATTTTTAAAAAGTTCTTCCTGACAGGGAGGTAAACTCTGCCTGCTTGTAACTTCCATCAATTGTATCCCACCACCTGGGCTCTGAATCCCATCCTCTCTCACCTCCTCGGGGACCATGGCTCTATCAAAGACCTATTTATACTCTCTTCTGAATCTTCAACGTCTTCTCTCCATTAGGTGCATCCCTTTAACATATCAACAGACTTGTGTCTCTACAATCTATTAAAAAAAAAAAAATCTTTAAAAATAGTCTGGTATAATTCTACTTCTCCCATTACCTAGCCATGCTTTCTCCTCCTTACAGGCAAGCTTCTAAAAAAATAAGGACTCTGATTACTACCTTCACTTTCTCATTGATCCCACAAATATGAATTAAGTACCTATTAAGGACCAGACAGAGCCCTGGTGGCGCAGTGGTTAAGAGCTCGGCTGCTAACCAAAAGAGCTCAGCAGTTCAAATCTACCAGCCACTCCTTGGAAACCCTAAAGGGCCGTTCTACTCGTCCTACAAGGTCGCTGAGAGTCAGAATCAACTTGACGACAATGGGTTTTGGGTTTAAGGATCAGAAACTTTGTCATCTCCTATACACACTCCATGGGAGCCCAGGTGGCACAGTGGTTAAGCTCTCAGCTGCCAACCAAATAAGGTTGGCAGTTCGAACCCACCAGCCTCTCTGCGGGAGAAAGATGTGGCAGTCTGCTTTGGTAAAAATTTACAGCCTTGGGAATCTTAAAAGCCTGACCTATTGACTTTATGGCAACACGTGTGGTTTTGGGTTATACACACTCCAGGTCACCGAACACTGGTTTTCATCCTGACTGCTCCACTAAAATCGCTCTTGCCAAAGGCAATGGCATCATAGTCAATGGAGATTTTCAGTCTTCATTTTCCTCGACACTCTCTAAGTGACCAACATTGTTATCCATTAGGAAAACATAACGCTCCAATGTTTCCTTCTGCTGTACATGGATGGGGTCACCATGAGATGGAGCAGACTCCACAGCAACTAACAACCTCCCCGTAAACAGTGAAAATGGATTTAAACCTACAAATTTAGGAAAGCGCTTTTCATAAACCACCACAAAAATTTAACGTTTACTGAATCAGAATAAAATTCTATACAAAATGCAAACTGAATGCAGCCAAAACTGATTTCTTTACTGCACCCTCACCCAACTCATCATCCCATTAAATATGCCTTTCCTTCTATGTTCCATTTCTTAATGAATGGTATCACTTCTGCTCATTCCTCAAGCTAGAAACTCTGAGTAGCCTGAGACATAATGTTTCAGTGTCACTTCCTCTGAGAAGTCCTCCTTGCCATTCATCTGGTGCCTACTCCCACCCAGGCCACGTCAAGCGCTCTTCTGTGGTCCAACAGCACCCACACACATTTCCTTCATGGCATTTAGTATACTACTTTAAAAATCAGGATACTTTTGTTTTGACTATGAGTTCCTTGAGAGCAGTCACTGTACTTACTCCTGTCTATATGTTTCATGCAAAACAGAGAATTTGGTATACATCAGATACTCAAATTTTTTGCTGGATTTTTTAAAAGAAACTGGTCCTATTTTTGTCTTCTGAAAAGTCATAAAATAAGCCTAATCATTTTTCCACAAGGACAACCCCTCAAAAATATGAAGATTGCACAATCCTCTCTGAGTCCACTTTTTCCAGAGAAAGCCACTCTAATTCATCAAACGCTACTTAGAAAACATGGTTTCCAGACTCTTCCTCAATCTTAAGAAAAAATATACAATCACTGTATGAAACAAAGCTTAAAAAAGCTATGGGAAAAGATCAAAAACACCTGTACAAATGGAAAGACATGCCATTCTTGAACAGGACGACTCAATATCATAAAGATGTTAATCCCTATATAAATCATTAAATCTAACTCCAATCCAATAAGAAGAGGCTTTTTTAAAAAAGGAAAAGTTAATTTTAAAATTAATACAGAAATATAAACCAGGAAATTTACAATGAGGGTGAACTTCCCCTTTCAGAGACTAAAGCACATTTTTTTAAAAAGCTAGAATGATGAATAGACAGGCTAATGATGAGCAGGCAGATCAATGAAAAGAATGAAAAGTCCAGAGATAGATTCAAACACATAGCGGGAATTTAGAGTGTGTTAGTAATATACCATGGACTGCCAGAAGAATACACAAATCTGTCTTGGAAAAAGTACAGCCAGAATGCACCTTAAAAGCAAGGATGGCAAGACTTCATCTCATGTACTTTGGACATATGATGAGGAGGAACCAGTCCCTGGAAGGACATCATGCTTGATGAAGCAAAGGGTCAGCAAAAAAAAGGAAGACCCTCAATGAGATGGGCCGACACAGCGACCGCAACAATGGGCTCAAACATAGCAAAGGTTATAAGGATGGCACAGGATCAGGCAGCATTTTCGCTCTTCTGTACACAGGGTTGCCGTGAGTCGGAACTGCCTCAATGGCAACTAACAACAAGAAGCAACGATATTTGAAAATGGCGAAGCACTGATAAATTATTCAATATACACTGTTGGGACACCAACAACACCATATGGGAAAAAAAATTAAGTTGGATCACTACCTCAAACCTTACACCAAAGTATATCTAAGACTTAAACATAAAACTAATAAAATATTTTCTGCTCAGTCACAGTAAAAAATAGAATATTTTTATAATATGACTCAGTAAGACATTTTTAAGTATAACATAAAATTGAGAAGCAATAAAAAAATTTAAATACAATTCCATTAGGTAACATAAAAATTCACTTGTGGCAAAATATCGTAAGCAAAGTCAAAAGACAAACAACAAACTTAAAAAGGAATATTTGTAAGTCATATCACCAAGAGCCAATTTCCTTAATACATCTAAAATTCTACAGATCAATAATACAAAGACTACCTAATAAAAAAATGGGCAAAGTATAGGTATGGTCAGTTCTCAGAAACAGAAATACAAATGACTTGTTCATATGAAAAGATGCTCAACCTTTCTAATGAGAAAAACGGGAATTAAAACTAGGATAAAATAACATTTTTCACCTATCAGACTGATAAAATAAAAAACTTCAATAATACTGTATTGTTAAGCGTGTAGGGAAGCAGAAACTCTTAAAACACTGCTGGTGGAAATGTATACTGATACAATGCTAATAGAAAGCAATTTGGAAACGTGGGCAATAATGTATTGCTTTTACATATACGTACTGCAGCATTGCTATAATAGGAAAAACTGGAAAACCCAGGGGATTAGTTAAAGTATGGTACATTAAGTCAATGGAATGCTAAATAGCCACCAAAAAGAATGAGGCAAACCTTTAAGTGCTAACACGAAATAAGCTTCTAGATATCCTGAAGGAACAGAACCTTTTTCCTTGCTAAGAAAACCCTGATTTTGTTGTTACCAGGCAGCTATTTGCTAAAGAAAAGCTAGTACCTAGTCCCACAAGGTGAACAGTGATTGGTCTCAGCCAATCGTTGTTGTTCTTGTATACCCTCGAGTCAATTTCAACTCATAGTGACCCTACAGGACAAAGCAGAATTGCCCCCATAGAGTTTCATGGGCTGTAATCGTTACAGGAGCAGTTGGCCCAGCCTTTTCTCCCATGAAGCAGCTGGTAAACTCGAACCACCAACCTTTCGGTTAGCAGCCAAGCACTTAACCACTGTGCTACCAGGGCTCCTTCAGCCAATCATTGCCAGCAACTAATTCAGGAAAGGCACCTGTGCCACAATTCTGACCAATGAGAAATGAGGCTAAAGACTACTGGGAAAGTCTTCCTCATCTGTAAAAATGGACACAAGAAGGATATTCAGTTTTTACCAATGGACTTGGCAGTTTACATGACACACTAAATAGGAAAGCCACTTAGGAATCACATGGGGAGCAGCCTAAGAGGAATAATAAGGAAAGCAGAACAGAAAGATTAAAGAACCTAGGCCTTGGTGACACTGCTGAGTTACTAAACTAACCAATCCTGGAAACACGCTATCTCTGGAATTCTACCAGTTGCTCTCAAGTTGATTCTGACTCATGGTGACCCCATGAGTGTCAGAGCAGAACTCTGCTCCATAGGTTTTTTCAATGGCTGATTTTTCAGAAGCAGATCATCAGGTCTTCTGAAGTGCCTCTGCATGATGGACTCAAGCCTCCAACCTTTTGGTTAGCTGTCTAGTGTGTCAAGTGTTTGCACCACCCAGGTACTCCTCTGGATTTCTATGAATAAGCATCCCCTTTGGAATTTCTCTGGAAGGATACCCATGTAAGTGGTTAGCAATGGCTGCCCCTCAGGATAGATAATAAGGATAGAAGGGAGACATTTTTCATTGTATAGCCCTGTTGATCTTTTTATTTTGCATCAAGGGCATTTATTATCTACCCCAAAATAAACCTTTTTTTAAAATGTGACACATGCTTGTTTTCAAATTTTCAAACAAAAATTGACTGCCCAAAATTTAAGATAGTATTTATCTCATCTCTCTACATTGAATCTGCATTGCTAGTTTCATTCCACTGAATTTTATGCAACAGTAACCACGTCTTAAAGGATATAGCATTTTTAAACATTATTAGGCCACTGCTATAGAAAAAATAACTTTTTCAAGCATGAGGTAATAAACTCCACTACTGGTAGAGTCAACTTTGGTAGGGTTATACAAAACACATTCAATTTAAGAACCACTACTGCCATGAGAATATTGTCCAACATAGTCCTGAAAGATGAGCCCCCTAGGTTAGAAGGCGCTCAAAATAAACAGCGGCCACAACAATGGACTCAAGCGTATCAAAGATCACGAAGATGGTGCAGAACCTGGCAATGTTTCCTTCTGCTGTACATGGATGGGGTCACCATGAGATGTAGTAGACTCCACAGCAACTAACAACCTCCCCGTAAACAGTGAAAATGGATTTAAACCTACAAATTTAGGAGTGCTTTTCATAAACCACCACAAAAATTTAACGTTTACTGAATAAGAATAAAATTCTACACAAAATGCAAACTGAATACAGCCAAAACTGATTTCTTTACTGCACCCTCACCCATCTCATCATCCCATTAAATATGCCTTTCCTCCTATGTCCCATTTCTTAATTAATGGTATCACTTCTGCTCATTCCTCAAGCTAGAAACTGAGTAGCCTTTACTTATACTTTGGGCTTCCATACTTTTAAAATAATTTCTACACAGTGCTTATTACGCTGAACTGCTTACTATACTGAATTGTCACTGATTAACTTACTAGTCTAACTTTCCCTTTAGACTGTGTGCTTCTCAAAGCTTGGGCCCACAATTCAGTCATCTGTGATTCTACCCATCCCTGTATGGAGTGCCTGGCTCTGTCTGCGTTTTTAAATCACTGAAAGAAAAAGTGGAAAAAAAAAATTCATGCCACAAGAGTTTGCTTAAAATCAAGAAGAGCAGACTACTAAGAGTATAACAGTTCATATTTACCTTTCACCTTTCTTAAGGGCTTAAAGCTCTTAATATTAACTGCTACAATTAAAAACTTCATAACCAGAGGTAAAGAAATTAATGTAAAAATCATGAAGATTCTATTCAACGTTCAGTAAATACTTATTGAATTTACAGTGGGTGAACAACATAGACATGGTTCCTGAACTCAGAAAACTTACAGGCCAGTAAGACAACAGACAATTAAATGAATAATAATAATGAAGACTGCTAAGTAGTATGATAGAGGACAGAAAGCAGAGGGACTTATCTGACATGCCTCTCAGGACTATTTCCTACCTCCTCATTTATACAGCAACTACCAACTGTAATCCCATATAAATAAAATACAGCTGGGTTTAGCCAGCTAAAGACAGAACCTTCTGGGTTTAGCAAGCAAAGAACCCTGCTCTACCAAGACAGACTGCGATATTCCCCCCTCTTCCTTCCCAGACAACAGCACGAACAACTGCAAGCCTAGAGACCAGACGCCCCACAGCCTCCTACTCCACAGGAAAGCCAGACTCCCAGGGGTTTATTAATTGACAAAGCCCTAAATATATTCTCAGATCATCCACAGAAACCAAAAAGCCGTATGTTATTTCCAACAGGCACAGAAACAAAAGCAGAAAAGCAAATGATTTAATCAAGAGAATACAGAGCTTAAAAGTAGGTTTCTTCTATGTACCAAGTTAATGAAAGTTTATCTCATTGTGATCACAGTTTTTAAAAACTACTTAAAATTCCTATGAACTAACTGAGAAATTATTTATATTTTCCTATGAAATCAAAAGGTGCTAGATTAATTCCATCTCCAGCTGCTAAACTATGAAGCTCAAGTAAAGCCGATCTACTCAATAAGTATAATCCAGATCAAAAAAAAAAAAAAAAACAAAACTCAACACGATCCCCAACCCCCCCCACCACCAAAAAAAAATTACATGGAACACAGATACACAGAAAGTATGGGTCCGCTTCCTATCCACAGAACACTTGTCAAACTTGCTCTGACAAATGAATAACCAAAGAGCTCATCCCTGAGCAGAATAAAACCAAAAACCAACCCTTTGCCATCAGTTGATTCCGACTCTTGGCAACTCCATGTGTTACAGATTAAAACTGCTTTAGGTTAGCAAACCTCTTGTGCCACCCAGGGACCCTGAACAGAATAATAAAGAGGGGATGAATACAAGAACAAGGAATTACTGCACCTTTTATTAAGAGAGTTTGGATTATATACTTACCAATGTTTGTCTCTTAGATGGTTACAAACAGTATTAGCAAATTAGAAGATCTGTTGAAAGGAGCCCTGGTGGCACAACAGTTAAGCACTCAGCTGCTAACCGAAAATTTGGTGGTTCAAACCCATTCAGCCGCTCCTCGGGAGAAAAAACTGTAATAAAGATTACAGCCTAGAAAACCCCATAGTGCAGTTCTACTCTGTCACATGGGATCACTATGAGTTGAAAATCTCAACAGCACCTAAAAACAATAAATTCACATTTACCGGATAAACAAATCCTGGTATATCCATACAATGGGATACTACCTAGCAATAAAAGGGAATTAACTACTGACACACACAACATGGATGGATTTCAAAATAAATATCCTGAATGAAGAAGCCAGAAAAAAGAAGATTATCTACTGTATGATTCTATTTATATAAATTTGTAGAAAATGCAAACGAATCTATAGTGACAAAAAGCAGATCAGTGGTTGCCTAGGGATGGAGGCTGGAGGAACCAGGGA